AGGGGTTTTCCGGCGGCAGGAATCTGCATGACTGCTTTTTGTACGATCTTTAAGGGGAGTGTACAATCCAGATATTACAAAAAAGTGCAAAATAAATCTTGTCTGATTCATCCTGCTAAACTCATGATTTTTGCATCTAAAAGCTCATTATCTCGAAAATCGGTTTATTGCAACAACTTACCTTAACATTCTGTGTACCTATTTTAAGCAAACGAGCAAATTGCAGCGGTTGCCAAACATTGCAAACGCAGAACTTCAATTTCCGCATGTTTAGCGATTTGCTTGGGTCAGAAACGTGCTATACCCTTCCGTGCCTGAGTTGAATCCAATAGTTGCACTTGCTTTTGGTCGCAGACCTCCGGACCAGAGGATCCTGACACACAGCCCTTTTCCCTTAATGCAATTACATTACCTGGGCTTTCAGATCAAAGGTTTTCTTAATCGCAATAAAGGTTTGTCTTTTCCTTAGTTTAGTTATGAGAGCTTGCGTAGATACAGTGATTTATTGCAGAAAAGCAACAGGGTCTTGTTAATATTTTTCGGGATAATGAAGGCCGGAGAAAAGGAGTAAAGTGAGTGCATACATTTTGAGATAACATTGAAATAACTTGAAAGCCAGCTGCTGAAAACCGGTATAGTTCATGGGGGAAAAGTGTTAGTTACGTCATGAAGAGTTCAAAAAGTTTCCAACGTGGAAAAAAGGCAAACTTGGCAGAGTAATCAACGCTCCATGTCCTTTGCTCACCGCGCTGCGAAAACCATGCATCCACATGCTTTGCGGCCTCCCCTGACTTTTGAGCTCAAAAGTCTCCATACCCCATTTTACCCTTCAAAGCCTTAGTCGCTGCTTGGCAGCCTCATCCATTGAGACTGCTTGCTACCTCGGGTAAATAACGGGCCTTGGTTGCTACCTCCTTGCTGGTTGCTACCAGCAAGGAGGTAGCAACCTCATTACTTGACGTCGTAGCCTCCCCGTGCATAGCAAACATAACACATCAAACCAACTACGATTCACTCGCAAATATTTCAATTGCGCCCTTTATGTTCCTTTTGGAAATGTCTGAAGCTGCACTAGCTACGCTGGCGAGAGGCCTCCAAGTAATAGTGGCAACACAGTTTTTCAGAGTTCACGTGCGCTTGGGCGGGGGTCAAATTGACCTTCCAAAGGTTTTCCGGACTGGTTTCCGAACGGCGTGGCGTAGCCGCGCCAAATTCTTCATAACTGTAAATAACTCAAAAGCGGATCATTTCGCATTACAATATTAGATGCACCTTGTAAGGTGGCTGGCCTACAGCAGGGCAAAGTCAGGCCATGGATTCTGCAAAGTCAATTCCTTGGAAATAGCTAAATCCCAGCCTACATCGGAGTGTTAGACAAAGCCATACACCTCTGAGATATTTTCTAAGGCAACACAATGACTGGATGAGCATATTCCATTGACCTAAGGTCAGATTTGAAGGTTAAACCAACGTCAAAATCAGCCTGTTTTATTACTCCAGGGCTTCATGTATAGGGCAACTTTTTTGGTCATTTCGAATATTTTGATAACAGGAACCGGATTTTACACCTTCCATGGACTTCTCGAAGGTCAGAATAGGTCACTGACCTAAAATGGCCCTGGCCAAGATTTCGTTTTTAGGAGCATACTGCCTGGCGTAATCTTTGCCGCTTATTAAAATGCAAACCTCAAAGCAGTCTTGTATGACTTTGGTCACAATGGCCTTCAAAGGGTCAAACAAGGCCACTTACCTTAAATGAGCATGTTATATTTTGCTTGGAACAGGTATCTAGGGTCTGGGGGCATTTTAAAGACCAACCTGGAGATAACCTTGTTTGACCTTATTTGACCCGAAGGCCATGACCTAGGAGCCTCATACTTTGACCGAAGTGATTTCAGGTACGGGGTTTGACCTAAGTGATTTCAGGTACAGGCCAACACATTTTGTAAATTGATCGTTTCTAGCCTTCTTAGTTCCTGAGATCTCAGTGGGGTCGACAGACCCTCCATCCGAGCAAAGGGTATTCAACCGGCCGCCCGAGCGAAAGGTATCCAACCGGCCACCCGAGCGAAAGGTATCCAACCGGCCACCCGAACGAAAGGTATCCAACCGGCCACCCGGGCGAAAGGTATCCAACCGGCCACCCGGGCGAAAGGTATCCAACCGGCCACCCGGGCGATAGGTATCCAACCGGCCACCCGGGCGAAAGGTATCCAACCGGCCACCCGAGCGAAAGGTATCCAACCGGCCACCCGGGCGAAAGGTATCTAACCGGCCACCCGGGCGCGTGTTAATAAAGCATGTCGGTGTTTCCTTTACACCAAACAATGCTCTGCTAAATTTTTGATTACAATTAAAGTCACGATGGATCTGTAAAGCTAACTGCACGGGATGTTCGAAACATGCCCCCAGGTTGTTGTGTTCTTTAAATGGGTATGTTTTTTGTAGTCATCAGCGATCAAATCCATCGGTGGTGTGGCCATATCATATTGCTTCATCTGGTGAGTATGGGGCAGCTGCTGATGACGACGGAGGTGTCAATCTGTACTCCTTGGGGAGCGAAACGTGGTTACATCCGTGGAAGGACCAGAAGATGACCTCGGAACATGGTAGGGCAAAAACTGTCTTGATACCAGGAACTTTGTGGGATGTGGTTGGTGGAGAGTGATTACGTGTGCGCGGTGCTGATGCAAGAGTCTTATTCACTTGGGCTGATTGTTTTGCTGGTGACCGAGAAGCCAAACATCAGTTACATCTGACATGGTTTAGGGACAAACGTCGCCTTTATTATGCTTTCTTTTATATTTCCAGAGGATTGCCACTGTAATGTACCAATCTTAGAGTAGCGTTTCGGAAGAGATGGACCCTTTGGAAAGAGAGAAGGCTTGAATGATATCGCATAATGCTTATCAGCTATGTGCAACATCACCAGCCAGCATCATGCGTTGGACATACAGACCCTGACATTCTCACCCAAAAGCCGTTCAGCAGTGTTGGTGGCTTATGCTGGCCAGCAAAGGCCAACATCATCTCACTGTATCGCTGTTTTGCCTTAGGCTCAGGATTAGCTCCAATTTAAAGGCTAGCTGATGCAAAACGAACACCAAAATAGGACACTGAAGGATGGACGCCGTGACAGTGGTATATAATCCCCATATCAAGCTAGAAATTTCTTGATCGCTATAAGCCTGATCATTTTACCTCCTAGGAGGGACAATCGTTTGATGTGACGTGCTTTAAGAGAATGCTGATATATACATTATTATCTATGAAATTTGTCAAATTCATTTTCATGATAAGCATCACTTTGCACCTATTTTCTTTTAAAAAAATCAGCTTCAGTGTGATGCAGGGCAAAACCTTCAAGTTCTATCAAAGCGTAATTTTGGCAATAGGGTGCGTGCATTGTAACAGATGCACGGAATTATTTGCGGTTAATACGATACCAACACGAGATTGCAACAAGCGTTGTGCCGAGAGCATCAAAGAAAGCTGGAAGTAATCCAGGCTGGCTGAGGCCTCTGTTTTTACTGTCGCACCACAGATCACAGCTCATCGAGCACCCGTGGTGCTTGCGTTTCGTACTTAACAGTTCGCCCATCGCGGCCTGACCCCGGCATGCGATGGCCGAGTGACTGGCGTATCGGACTCTCATGTTTGGGGCCCGGGTTCGAATCACGGATGCGCCATGGCCTTTGGGGAACTAACATGGCCAGTTCGCTCGCTGGTGTTCCTCAAAAAGGGCGTGACGACGGGATCGCATTCCTTCTGGAACACATGCTGCCCGACTCTGCCGGGCTGACGCATAATTTGCCCTCGGCGTGGCACCACAGGGGCAACGCGTGATCGGTTAACATTGCATCTGACGCCCGGTGTCCGACACCTCATCGAGTCATCATGATATACAATTTTGAACGGCACTACGGTAAGCGGTATAGGGTAACGTTAGATAAAAGAGACGGCCGCTGATACATATTTGGAAAACGAGCTCGCGCGAAATGCTGAGTTTGATCAAAATGTTTCTCTTTATTTAGACTCTGATATCTGCTATCTGTTATTTATTAACTAAGTTATCCTTGTCCTTTTTAATTTGAGGCGATACGCAACACAAGAAACACCCGTGACACATCCATTGACGTACATAGATGCCTGCGGTCATTGGCACTGCTTTTTCTCGCTGTAGTTGGGCAGCTTCTGTCCTATACATGTGCAGCCAGAATTCCTCGTGCGTGGAGTCCGCTAGCGTAAGATGGTGGTCTTGTCGCTTGGCTTTGGAGCCCACGTAGCCACGGAATCGCTACACATTGCACGGTACCACTGGTGTTTGCCGCTGGCCAAAAAGCCAGACATACATTTGATTCAGTTTTATTTGAGATGGGCGGTGTATTTAACATAAAGTAGTGATCTGCCCTGCGGCGTGAACAAGTTATTATAAATGTGAGTAGTGAAGGGAAATAATTCCCACCTTTCAACGATACACAGTGCACCATAATCGATAGTTCTAGTATATTTCTTGGCCTGGAGAACTCAAGCTATCTTTAGTATCTGCACAAACACAGGAAGGGTCTGGGCCGTATACATAGCATGAGTACTATGATCACGGTCCTCCATTTCCCAGCTACGTATGCCGTAAATGCACGACGCATTGGCGTCAAAGTTCCAGCGCAAAAGCCCTCGAATGACGTGGACGAGGAACAGGAGTGGATTCAGCAAGCTGACTCAAGGGAGACTTATGTCAGGTCTAAACGGTCGGTCACTGAGTCTCAGGTGAGAGGCGACAGACAGGTCGGTACTTTTCCACACACACTTTAAATGGAAGCTGTAAGCTTTTTGTAGCCCCTGGTTGCTGAAAGGCCTGCGATGCCAGGGGCTCGTACGGTTTTAGCGGGATGACTTTTGCCATTTGCCATTTGAAGCAAAGTTGTGTACGTGGCTTCCAAAGTGAAGCGCAACAGGATGTGACGCGCGGCCGGTGCTGATTTCAGGAGAATATCGCTGCCATGACCTCCATATCGTCGTCGACCAGCATGATCATAGCAGCAGATCTCACGACACCCGTGGTCGCAACACAAACAGCTGACGGTACCGTCACCACCACCGATGCCTTCACCACAGTCCTTCCAGCAACCATGTCAACCTCAGCTGCTTCGCCTGCATCAACAACATCCTCTGAGGCAACTTCATCCCAGGCATTGGTCACATCCGAAACCACAGAACATGTCGCCGAGACGTCTGATATCAATATCACTCCAGGCTACTCTCAAGAGACGACACCTGGCCCAACCGGTACATCATCACGCGCGCCTCTGTTTGAGACATCGGAAACAGCAGGCACCGTGGCCGCATCTATCGGCGTCACAACAATAACGTCATCAGTACCAACAACGCCCCCAACACCGCCTGAACAATCAGCTCAAAGCCCCCCAGCATCTGGACAAACCAGTCTTGAGACAGCTTCGTCACGCACAACACCACCCACCGTGACGACGGGATCGTGGACCTCCAGTACATCCTTGACAGTGGGCGGTGGAACAGATCCGGCCGCAGGCCAGACAACCCTCCACACGACCTTCCGAGCTTTGCTTACATCGCTTACACCAGCTGCATCTCCAGCTACCCCTGAGACGACAGTCAGCACAGAGACGACAGCAACAGCTTCTGCAACGGCGTTACAAACAACGATGGAAGATACAGAGCAACACGGGAATGTCACGCGACCAACAACATCTACAGGTAACAACACACCTAACGGGAGTCAAGAGACCGTAGCAACGTCCAGTGAAGCCCCTGCAATGTCAGTCAGCAATGATAACAGCACATGGGTCACATCGTCCTCCCCGGACTACGCAGAAAGTACTGCAGAGTCATCTCTCAATTCGGCCGCATTCACATCGACAAGCGAATTGTCCCAACACACTGCTCCGGCAGCGGCTGGTGATTTCACGGCAACAACGCCAGATATCACAACAGCTGGCAAGGCCACTGGAACAACTCAACCTACTTCAACAGCTGGTAGTACTACATCCACGACGCCTCATCTAACCGCATCAGTTGGAAGCACCGCTGTCACAGCACCTGTTCCTGTAACGACGGCTGGCAGCATCACAGATACAACACCTGACCATTACACGACTACTACAGCTTCCTATCGGGGGACCGCACTTGGTATTAGCACAGGGACAGCATCTGAGCCGTACACAACAGCTGATAACATCGCAGGCACAACGTCCAGCCTCACAACGGCTGGGGACACTGTAACAACGTCTGATCGCTTAGAGATAGGTAGTAGTGCGTCCCATTCTACTACAACAAGTAGCACCACAAGAATGGCGTCTGATCCGACTACAGCAGCAAGCGGCATGATGTACAGTGCATCTGTTCAAACCACAATGTCTCTTCCGAATACAATAGCTGGTAGTACCACAGGTGCATCATCTGGTTCAGCCACAACAGCTAGTAGTACCGGAGGAACAACATCTGACCTTACGTCACCATCCAACAGTTTGTTAACTACAGCATCTGATGTCACAGCTGGTGGTAACACCTCAGTGACGATGTCTGGACTTACTACAACAGGTGGAAGTACTACTTCAGATCTCACTGCGACAACTGACGATGGTACAATGATGCCGTCTGGTCTCGCTGCAACAAACGATAGTACCACAGAAACCACATACAGGCTCACCTCGACAACCAGTATCACAGGTCACGCCTCCAAGGCAGCTGGTAGCACAATAGGCCCAGCGTCTGCGCAAACCACAAGTGACAGTGCGACAAGTACAACTTTCGGTCCCGCTGCTCTAGATGACAGTACCACAGGGACCATATCCGAGCGTACCACAACAGCTGGCGGTACCATGATTACACCACCTGGCGTCACAACAGCTGGCAGTATCGCTGGAACACCGCCTGACGTCACAACAGCTGGCAGTATCACTGGAACACCGCCTGACGTCACAACAGCTGACAGTATCACTGGAACACCGCCTGACGTCACAACAGCTGGCAGCATCGATGGAACACCACCTGATGTCACAACAGCTGGCAGCATCACTGGGATGTCGGATCTCACCTCACCAGATAGTAGCACCACAGGTGCAACATATCATCCTACGACACAAGCTAGCAGCACCACACGGGTGGAAACCGAACTAAATTCGTTAGCTGCTGCCACCACAGGAACAACGCCCGACCTTACTACAACGTCTGATCCAAATGCAATACCTGGAAATTCAACAGGCACGATATCTGTTCCTACCGTAACAGCTGGCAGTACCACAGGCACGGTATCTGTTCCTTCCACAGCAGCTGGTGTTACCACAGGTACCGTATCTGTTCCCTCCACAACAGCTGGTGCTATCACAGGCACGGTATCTGTTCCCTCCACAACAGCTGGTGCTACCACAGGCACGGTATCTGTTCCCTCCACAACAGCTGGTGCTACCACAGGCACGGTATCTGTTCCCTCCACAACAGCTGGTGCTATCACAGGCACGGTATCTGTTCCCTCCACAACAGCTGGTGTTACCACAGGCACCGTATCTGTTCCCTCCACAACAGCCGGTGCAATCACAGGCACGGTATCTGTTCCCTCCACAACAGCTGGTGCTATCACAGGCACGGTATCTGTTCCCTCCACAACAGCTGGTGCTATCACAGGCACGGTATCTGTTCCCTCCACAACAGCTGGTGCTATCACAGGCACGGTATCTGTTCCCTCCACAACAGCTGGTGTTACCACAGGCACCGCATCTATTCCCTCCACAACAGCCGGTGCAATCACAGGCACGGTATCTGTTCCTACCGCAACAGCTGGTGGTAGCACAGGCACAGTATCTGTTCCTACCGCAACAGCTGGTGGTACCACAGGCACAATGTCTGGCCTTTTCACATCAGCTGACAGTACCACAGCCACTAGTTGGAATCCTTCATCGCCAGCTGGTACCACCACAGGATCAGTAGCAGACTTCACTACACCAGGTAGTAAATACACGGACACAACGACTGATGTCACAACACCATCTGACAGTGGTTCCGGGTCACTTTCTGGCCTGACTGCAACAGCTGATAGTATCACAGGCACAACCTCTATTGCTGTTACAACAACTGGCAGTACTTCAAGAACAACGCTTGGTCCCGGAATAGCAAGTGGCAGCACGGCGTCTGATCCCACTGCATCAGCTAGTAGGACTACAAAAATGACGTCTGCCCCCATAACAGCTGTCGACAGTAGTACAGGCACCACGTCTGCTCCAACCATCACAGGTGGCACCACTACAGGTGCCACGTCTGTTCCAGTTATCACAGCTGGTACCACTACAGGTGCCACGTCCCTTCCAACTATCACAGCTGGTATCACTACAGATGCAACATCTGTTCCAACCATCATAGCTGGTACCACTACAGGTTCCATGTCTGTTCCAACCATTACAGCTGGTATCACTACAGATGCAACGTCTGTTCCAACCATCACAGCTGGTACCACTACAGGTTTCACGTCTGTTCAAACCACCACAGCTGGTACAACTACAGGTGCAACGTCTGTTTCAACCCTCACAGCTGGTACCGCTACAGGCACCATGTCTGTTCCAACCATCGCAGCTGGTACCACTACAGGTACAACGTCTGTTTCAACCATCACAGCTGGTGCCTCTACAGGTTCCACTTTTGTTCCAACCATCACAGCTGGTACCACTACAGGTGCTACGCCTGGCCCTGCCCAAACAACTGGTAGTGTCACACGGACGGCATCTGAGCTTACCACAACAGCCGATAGTACCATCAGCACAATGCCTGATATCGTAACAGCTACCGGCACTTTAGTGGCACAGTTTGGTCGCACTACTATAGCTAGCAGCGCGACCCATGACACCATTACTACGTCCAATGATGCTGAGAGTGGGACACCTGATTCTGCTACAACGGTTGGTGACATCACAGGCGCAGCGTCTGTTCCTACTACAGCGGCTGGTGACATCACAGGCGCAGTGTCTGTTCCTACTACAACGGCTGGTGACATCACAGGCGCAGCGTCTGTTCCTACTGCAGCAGCTGGCAGTTTCACCTGGAGTACGTATGATCTCACAACAGCGCCGGGAAGTACCACCACTACTGCATTCAGTCTTACGACGCCAGCTGATAGCACCACTCCGACATCATCTACCGTTACCACAACAGTTTATAGCAGCGCAGGCACAACATCGGATCCCTCAACATCTGGCAGTACTATCGGCACAGCGTCTGACATCACGACAGCTGGTGAGGTAACTGGGGCAACGTCAGGTCCTATCACAACAGCTGCTACTGCGTCGTCTGATTCCACCACTTCAGCTGGTATTTCTACAAGAATGGTGTCCGATCTCGCCGCAACAGCTAGCGGTACCGCTGGCCCCACCACCGATACCGCGACAACAGCTGATAGTACCGCAGGTACTCCTTCCGATCTTTTAACATCACGTCCCAGCACGACAGAAACGGTATCTGACCTCATCACAACAGCAGCTAGTACTGTAGCCCGAACGTCTGACATTACGACTGGTGCTATCATCGGCACAACACCAATGATTACCTCAGCAGCTGGTAGCACCACAGTTGGCCTTACCAAAACAGCTGGTAGTACCGAGGTTACAATATTTGAACCTTCCACATCAGCTGGGAGTGTCACACGGACAGCATCCGAACTTACCAGAAAACCTGGTGGTGCCACAGCCGCAGCGTCTGGTATCACCACAACCGCTGGCACCACAGTAACATCGCCGTATCTTACTACAAGAACCAGCAGCATAATGCCTGATTCCATCACAACGCCCGGTAGCATTACAAACGTAAGGTCTGATCTTACTACAGCAGGTGGTAGAAGCACAGGTACAACCCACTTAGCAACAACTGGCCGCACTACAGGAGCAACATCTGGTCCAATACCAGCAGCCAGCAGTACAGCGTCTTATACCGGTGCAACAGCTGGTGGAACTACTGAAACAGCGTTTGACTTAACAACAATTGGTAGTACCACACGAACATCGTCCGGCCCTACCACAGCTGGCAGCACCACGGGTACACCGTCTGGTCTTACCAGAACAGCTGCTAGTGTCACAGGGACGATATCCGAGCTTACCACATCAGCTGTTAGTACCTTAGGTGCAATGTCTCATAACACAACACATGTTGGCACATCAAGAGCAATATCCGATCCTACAATGTCGAGTAGTGCAACGTCCGGCTCTATTGCTGCGACTGGTGTTACTAGCAGTACCGCAGGTACCACGTCCCCTCCTGCCACAACAGCTAGCAGCGCTACAGGTACCACGTCTGCCCCTACAAAAGCTATCAGTGCTGCAGGCACCACGTCTACTTCCATGACAACACCTGGCGGTATCGCACGCACCACGTCTGCTCCTACGACAACAGCTAGCAGTGCTACAGGCACCACGTCTGCTCCTACGACAACAGCTAGCAGTGCCACAGACACCACGTCTGCTCCTACGACAACAGCTAGCAGTGCTACAGGCACCACGTCTGCTCCTACGACAACAGCTAACAGTGCTACAGGCACCACGTCTGCTCCTACGACAACAGCTAGCAGTGTCACAGACACCACGTCTGCTCCTACGACAACAGGTAGCAGTGCTACAGGTACCACGTCTGTTCCTACGACAACAGCTAGCAGTGTTACAGGCGCCACGTCTGCTCCTACGGCAACAGCTAGCAGTACCACAGGCGCCACTTCGGCTCCTACAGCAAAAGCTAGCAGTACTACAGGCGCCACGCCTCCTAGGGCAACGGCTGGCAGTACCACAGGCACCACTACTGCTCCTACAACATCTAGCAGCGCCTCAGGCACCACGTCTGCTCCTACGACAACAGCTAGCAGTACTGCAAGCACCACTTCTTCTTCTACAACAGCTATTAGTACCACAAGCCTCTCTTCCGCTCCTACGATAACAGCTAGCAGTGCTACAGGCAACACTTCTGCTCCTACGACAACAGTTAGTAATGCTACAGGCGCCACGTCTGCTCCTACGACAACAGCTACCAGTACCACAGGTCCCGCTTCTGCTCCTACAACAGCTAGCAGTACCACAGACACCACGTCTCCGGCGACAACAGCTAGCAGTGCTACAGGTACCACATCTGCTCCTACGACAACAGCTAGCAGTACCGCAGGCACCACGTCTGCTCCTGTGACAACATCTAGCAGTACCACAGGCACCACTTCCGCTCCTACGACAACAGCTAGCAGTGCTACAGACACCGCGCCTGCTCCTACGACAACAGCTGGCAGTGCTACAGGCGCCACGTCTGCTCCTACGACAACTACCAGTACCACAGGTCCCACTTCTGCTCCTACAACAGCTAGCAGTGCTACAGGCACCACATCTGTTTCTACGACAACGGCTAGCAGTACCACAGGCACCACGTCTGCTCCCACGACAACAGCTAGCAGTGCTACAGGCACCACGTCTGCTCCTACGACAACAGCTAGCAGTGCCACAGACACCACGTCTGCTCCTACGACAACAGCTAGCAGTGCTACAGGCACCACGTCTGCTCCTACGACAACAGCTAGCAGTGCCACAGACACCACGTCTGCTCCTACGACAACAGGTAGCAGTGCTACAGGCACCACGTCTGTTCCTACGACAACAGCTAGCAGTGTTACAGGCGCCACGTCTGCTCCTACGGCAACAGCTAGCAGTACCACAGGCGCCACTTCGGCTCCTACAGCAAAAGCTAGCAGTACCACAGGCGCCACGCCTCCTAAGGCAACGGCTGGCAGTGCCACAGGCACCACTACTGCTCCTACAACATCTAGCAGCGCCTCAGGCACCACGTCTGCTCCTACGACAACAGCTAGCAGTACCGCAAGCACTACTTCTTCTTCTACAACAGCTATTAGTACCACAGGCCTCTCTTCCGCTCCTACGATAACAGCTAGCAGTGCTACAGGCAACACTTCTGCTCCTACGACAACAGTTAGTAATGCTACAGGCGCCACGTCTGCTCCTACGACAACAGCTACCAGTACCACAGGTCCCGCTTCTGCTCCTACAACAGCTAGCAGTACCACAGACACCACGTCTCCGGCGACAACAGCTAGCAGTGCTACAGGTACCACATCTGCTCCTACGACAACAGCTAGCAGTACCGCAGGCACCATGTCTGCTCCTGTGACAACATCTAGCAGTGCTACAGGCACCACTTCTGCTCCTACGGCAACACCTGGCAGTACCACAGGCACCACTTCCGCTCCTACGACGACAGCTAGCAGTGCTACAGGCACCGCGCCTGCTCCTACGACAACAGCTGGCAGTGCTACAGGCGCCACGTCTGCTCCTACGACAACTACCAGTACCACAGGTCCCACTTCTGCTCCTACAACAGCTAGCAGTGCTACAGGCACCACATCTGTTCCTACGACAACGGCTAGCACTACCACAGGCACAACTTCTGCTCCTACAACAGCTGGCAGTACCACAGGTACCACGCCTCCTAAGACAACAGCTAGCAGCACCACAGGCCCCTCTTCTGCTCCTACAACAACATCTAGCAGTACTGCAGGTACCACGTCTGCCCCCGTGACAACAGCTGGTAGCACCGCAGGCACAACTTCTACTCCTACGACAACAACTAGCAGTGCCTCAGGCACCGCGTCTGCTCCTACGACAACAACTGACAGCACCACAGGCACACCTTCCATCCGTATGACACCAGGTGATATCACCACAGGAGCCCTTTCTGAACTCATTACGACGGCTCGTGATACTATAACCCCATCCTCTGATATCACAGCTGCTGGCAGTGCCACAACAGCAAAGTTTGATTTAAGCACATACGATGGTAGCACCACAGGCATGGCGCCTGTTCCCACCACAACAGCTAGTAGTACCACACACAGAGCATCAGAAACACAAGCTGCTGATAGTACCACATACACAACGTCTGGTATCACAGCAGCTAACAGTAACAGTAGCATTACCACAGTCTCTGCGTCTGACCTTACCGCCACGGCTGCTTATATCACGGGGGCAGGTTCCGGTCCTTCCTCAACAGCTGTTGTTACTATAGGTACCACTTCTGATTCCGCACCAGCTGGTAGTACCACCACACGGGATAGTACCTCTAGTACCGCTTCAGCTAGCAGTGTCTCAGAGACAGTATCTGAGCATGCCACAGCATCTGATAGTACCACAATTACAACTGGCCCCACTGCAGCAGCTGGTAGTACTTCATGGATGTCATCTGGTTTGACTACAGCAACCGTCGGTGCTACAAATAAAACACCTGTTCCTACCATAATAGTTGGTAGGACGACAGCATCTGACACTTCGGCAACAATTCCCGGCACCGCAGTCACAAGTTCTAGTCCTACGACACCAGCTGTTAGAACTACAGAAACTATATCTGAGCTTACTAGGGCATCTGGCAGTACTACAGATCCCATATTTGAACTTACTGCGACGACTGGCAGTACCAAAATGGAAATGCCTGAAGTTACCACGACAGATGGCAGCACCACAAGAACGACGCCCGTTTCTGCTACATCAGCAGATGCCACAACAGCTGTTATTCCCACAGAAATGGCGTCTCATCCCACTGAAGCAGTTGATGGCACTACAGTCACGATGCCTGTTTTTAGCCCTACAACTGCTCGCACTCCAGGCAACACACCTGATCCCAGTACCACAGCGGCTGGTGGTACCAGGGACATGTCTAGTTCTACCACGACTTCAACAACAACATATGAACCCACTTCACAGCCAACTAGCACACATTCTTACTTGCCTGAAACTACACCTCTTACACCTGTCGTGACCGACCAAACATATCAATCGACAACGTGGTCGTCTTCAGCCGCTTCGCCTGATCCGACGTCCAGTCCAGAGGGTGCAGGGACCACATCATCGTCGGACACCTCTGTGTCACCAACTACAGTCTCCACAGGTGGGCTGATGCCGCCTGGGCTGATCGAGGCCGTCTGTCCAGCGGGCGCAAACTTGTGGCCTGATACAGCACCTGCCTGGGCGTTACCTCTGGAAGCTGTCTTGGCGACGGCCCAAGCTTCGTTTCAGATCACCTCAGCGTGATCTGTTGGTCTTGCGATCGTGCTTCAGATCACCTCAGTGTGATTTGTTGGTCTTGCGGTCGTACTTCAGATCACCTCAGTGTGATCTGTTGGTCTTGCGGTCGTGCTTCAGATCACCTCAGTGTGATCTGTTGGTCTTGCGGTCGTACTTCAGATCACCTCAGTGTGATCTGTTGGTCTTGCGGTCGTGCTTCAGATCACCTCAGTGTGATCTGTTGGTCTTGCGGTCGTGCTTCAGATCACCTCAGTGTGATCTGTTGGTCTTGCGGTCGTGCCGCACTTCACTAGGAATGTCTCGCAGGCAGCAGAACGTGGTGAGACCCATTGTGCACGGCTAATTGCTGTGGACGGCTGCAGCAGCACACTTCTTTGTCGCAGGACATTATTACCTCTCATCACATATTTATGTCGCGGCGGCAACAGCCGATTAAGAGACAGCCATTCCATTGTCATTTGCCAAATAGGGAAAACATATGCTTGCCTCCGTGACATTTCAAGAGGTCCCCGTTATGTCGACATGAGGCTCCAACTGACCGAGACAGAGCATTCGATCAGATCAAAAGAATGGCTCAAAATGCGTTCAGGAGAGACCGCTCCGTAGAAGACCCTAGGTGGTCAACAACAGAACCCATTTGCCGAAAGAGGGCTTCAGATGATCCAAAGGAAGTTCAGTCTGCTGCAGAGAAGACCCTATGCAAACTCAGGAAGTTCGGCCATCCCAAGTGATCATCTTCTTCCGATTAGATGTCCCGATTAAAAAGATTGGGAAACCAGCCAGGCTTCGAGAAGGTTTAACTGCGCTATGGGCAGCCGGTGGTCCTTTAATAAAAGTGGGGAAAATGTGAGAAATTGCATAATGGTAGGGATAGAGCATCCCGAATCTGCTGAGTTTTACTTACTCTCTGAACAATATGCTGGTGGAACTGCTCCTCTGTCGCGGTCTTGTCGTAGTCTCCTGTCTTGTGATCCAGTTGAGCTGTAAGGTGATCATAGGCCCGACGCCTAACACATTTGGAAGTCACAACCATTAAAATTATGCAAATTAGCACCGTCTGAGTATTATTGCCTCCAATGTCAACAATGGCCAGGTTCACACGGGTGTTCCAGCGATTGATTATCGCAATCAGACAACTATGCGGGATTTCATGTTGTGCAACGTGATTTCTTATTGTGGTGCTGCTTTACTACTGATAAAACTCATGGCGTTATATGGAAATACAAAATAGCGTAAATGCAAGAGCTCTTTACGATAAGGTTCCCTTCACTTGAGTATATGCAACTGCAAGCTGATATCGATTAGACACCATTTGCTCGACAAAGAGGCACTAACACCCTATCTTTGCATTTGGAGCGAGATACGGCGTGATTGGAGCATTATGCCTGGAGAAAATTGTCCCGGCAGTCTGAACTTTGCAATATCCCTCAACATACGCTTCAGACGCTTTGTATCCAAAAATCATATTTGACATATCCTTGTCGCCCCAGCTGCCCGTGAACCACAGTACCAGAAGCTTATGATAGGCCGGTTTAAGCCTTGGGCCATCCTAGGTCATATATAATGGCCGTGTGGGTGAATGACGTAAAAGTGTCATTTGCGTCACGATAAGAATGACATCTAGAAACGAAAGGTTGCGAAATTTTTAATTCACCTCGATCATGATCACGGCGGATTATTTTCGATCACAATTGTTTGACGTTCCGAGCCTCCATGCACAGCTAAAACGTTGTCTACACCAAGCAAGTCATTTCTGACATTGCATATGCTGAGACATCTGTAGTCACCATTTTCCAGCACGATTTCTAAAACACAGTAATATGCAATAAAATAGTTCATCAAAATGTTGGTGAAGACGTCTAGTGGGTGAAACAACATGCGAAGAGGTGTTTGCCTCCTTTTACAACGGTCGTGAACAGTCATAAGGTTATAGAGTGACTGTACAACTCGGGCCTCCAGCCACAGCTGAAGATCCATGACAAGCACGTCTTATCCGACGGATCACCAAATGCCTCCAGCCACAGCTGAAGATCCATGACAAGCACGTCTTATCCGACGGATCACCAAATGAAATCCTAATCTGTCCCATGGTGTGGACTGAGACAATAAGGTGATAAGTAGCAAGTAGCTTCGTGTAAATAGAATCCGGGCCAAAATATGTTTTTCCTACCAAGAGCTGAAAGCGTACTCTAGGTATCCCTTCAACTTCCTCCATACTTTCCTCAGGGTCAGGAGGGAAGGCGAGCGTGATATTTCTTCCAACCACTGCGAACTTGGACCGAGCTCTTGTGTACTTGGTCAGCATCTGGTGTAAATTTCACGGCTCAGGGGGACCATGGGACCCCCTCCCCCAGCCCTCCTTTGGCCACACCCTCAACCTTTACAAGATACCTTAAACTCATGGATCGCTCGTACAAAATACCTGGAAATGCTGTGCTGCGCACTCGCGACTCCAAACAGGTAGTATGCAGTAGTGACTGCTTTGCTTGCTTGGTTGGTTGCGCGAAGAGAGCCGGCGCCGTAGGCGTCTGTATAGGACCATCTTCAGCTTCATAAGAGGGGCTCCGATCTCAGCGACTTCTAGGGTGTGTTATTAACATTTTTCTTCGAAGATGTTGGTTCGTGCGCCCATTGGGACTCCCTCGCGTATAGGGTCGATATATTCTAATTGTTCGAGCTTTCGGTCAATTTTTTGACAGCCTGGTCTATCGAAAACTCCTACTCAAACGACAAATATCTTCCTGCGAAATGTCAAAACACGCCTCTCTCAAGTGCCGTGAACGACATCGGTATTTGACAAGCGTAAACTTTGTCGGTGGACCGTCACAAAGGTTGTTACAGTGGTGTGCGTGACATTTCAAGGAAATCCCAGCCGCTGTCTTGGATGCGTCTGGCTAGAACATGCGCGCACACAGACAGGCAGACAGACGTGCAGACAAACAAGGTGACCGGAATGTGCATGACAAAGGTGCTTATTTTGGTCATCTAATACCCTTGGTGTCGCATTTCCTCCGAAGACAATGGCAGTTGGACATCCGTTGATATATCCACGATAAAGCTTTGTGGCACGGGAGATGTGTTTGCCTCTTTCAAGGCACTCATCAAAGCGACAGACGTATTACTGGCATGAAAAAACATTTTCAGCGAACAGTTATCACTTAACAATGTGAAAACAATTCTGAAGTGCAACTAATCTGCAGCCGGACGCCTTCGCCACATAAGAAACCTGACATGTGAAACAAAAACATGAAATGACATGGAAACATCCAGAGAAGTACAATACATCATGAAAGCGTTGTCCAAGGAACCAGGATGGTCCAAAGCTCACTGCCAGCCTGCTAATGAAGCCATTTGGCACAATCACACTCATCGCCACAAGCCAAACATCGAAACCAACTGGCGACATACTGTTCAAGCTCCAAACACAGCGGCCGGCGCTTCGAAGACATATGCTATATCGAAGCATGCGTTTCAGGGGAGGCGGCAACAACAGCAGAGGCTGCTTCGCCAGACGTCCTGACCGCCACAAGCCCGGCATTGACGCAGCAGACGCCAAACGTGACATGGGCGGCACCAGCAAATGAAACCGGTTCCACGTCTGTGGCATCTCCAGATTACACGGACTCATATGGAACGGGGGCTTTCACAACCGCACACTTCACCAGTGCGGCGACACCAGGAGCAGTAACAGCAACAGACGGCAGCTCCGTAAACACGGCGGGAACTTCCGTCGGAAATGAAGCTACTAGTGCCGAAACGGCAGGGGGAGAGGTTACAAGTGACGTCACTGGTGACAGTACAGCAGCGGGAGGAGCTACAAGTGACGTTGCTGGTGACGGTGCTGCTGAAACAACCTCACAGGGTACAGTCGTATCTGAAAATTTACTGGAGATTTCCTCAGGAGGGACCACTGCGTCGCTGCTCACAACTGAGGCCCTCTCAGACGGGACCAATGCGCCGGTACTTTCTGAGTCTGCAGCGGAGGTGACCCCAGAAGAGGCAAATGCGTCTACGTCTATTACTGTGACCACCCCAGAAGGAACAGCGGTATCCGTATCGACAATTGCGGCCACTTCAGAAGGGGAATCCATGGCAGCCACCACTGTGGTCACCACAGAAGGCGTAGCTCTTTCTGTAAATACCAATGCGGCTGGGTCAGACGAAACAACTGGACATGTGTCCGCAGCTGGCACCACCTCAGAAAGGACCACCGATCCTGCGTATACGACTGCAGCCCCAACAGAAGGCGCGACTACCTCCGTGTCAGCCGCTGTGGTCACCTCAGAGAGGAGCACAACCTTGTCAGCTACAAGCGATGTCTCGTCAGAACTAACAAATGCACCCTTACCTGACCCCGCGGCCAACTCGGATGGCACAGAAGGACCTGCATCCATGTCCACATCTAGCACACAAGCCACGCCTGTAACTGTTTCTACAACTGCAACTACGTCGGATGGAACAATGAGTACTTCATCCACCAATGTGATAACCTCACACGGTACAACTTCACCTTCATCTATGACCGAGGGTGTATCTTTAAGTGAGCCCACATCAAAGCGGACAACTGCAGCTGAATCTACCACTGTTGCCATTCTGGAAACTTCCACTTTAGGTTTATCGACCACCAGGGTCAGCTCAGGAGCAACAGTTGTGTCATTTTCCACCGATGCAATAACACCAGAAGGGACAGCGACGCCTGCATCCACAACCATGACCACGTCAGGAAGCGCCACTGTCACTGCGCGTACCACAGTGGCAAGCTCAGAAGGGATAACTATGCCTGTGCATACGACTGGGGTCACCTCAGAAGGGACAGCAGTGTCAGCATCTACCGCTGAGGCCACTTCAGAAGTGTCATCTTTACCTGGATCGACCACTAAAACCACTTCAGGGGGAGCAACTGCGCCCGCGTTCATAACTGAAACGGATTCAGCAGGGACAACTGTAACTGCATCCACCGCTGTGTCCACCTCAGAAAGGGCGCCTGCACCTGACTCTACAACCGTGGTGAGCGTAGATGGGACTACTGTACCTACGTCCTTGGTTGAAGCCTCCTCAGGAGGCACAACTGGAGGTGTGTCGACAAGTACCGCCGTCAAACCAACTACAACTGGGCCTTCGCCAACAACGGTGACCTCAGAAGTACCTGACACTACCACTGTGGTGACCGCAGATGGGACTACTATACCTGTGTCCTTGACTGAAGCCTCCTCAGAAGGCACAACTGGAGGTGTGTCGACAAGTACCGCCGTCACCACAACTACAACTGGGCGTTCGCCAGCAACGGTGACCTCAGTAGACGCCACTGTGGCCACCTCGACTGTACCTGACTCTTCCACTGTGGTGACCGTAGATGGGACTAGTGCACCTGTGTTCTTGACTGAAGCCTCCTCAGAACGTACAACTGGAGGTGCGTGGACAAGTGTCGTCGCCTCAACCACTGCAACTGGGCCTTCGCCAACGTTGGTGACCTCAATAGCAACTACTTTGCCTGTATATACCATTCTGACAAGCTCAGAAGGCACTGTGTTGCCTTTATCTTCCACTGCAGCCACCTCAGAAGGCGCAAATGTGGTCACCACGACCGGACCCGTATCTTCAGCTGAGGTCACCTCGGAAGGAACAACTGTGCCCGTACTTGTCACTGCTGCCACCTCAAACTCCGCAACTGCATCTTCATCTACCTTTGAGGTCACCACGAAAACCATAACTGCACCTTTATCTACCACTATGACCACTTCAAAAGGCACAGCTCTGCCTGCATCGACCGCAGAGGTCAAATCCGACCCCGCGGCTGTGCCTGTATCTACCACTGCGACCACCGCAGAAAGCACAGCTCTACCTGCATCCACCGCGAAGGTCACATCCGACCCCGCGGCTGTACCTGCATCTACCACTGCAACCACCTCAGAAGGCACAGCTCTACCTGCATCCACCGCGAAGGTCACACCCGACCCCGCGGCAGTACCTGTATCTACCACTGCGACCACCTCAGAAGGCACAACTCTACCTGCATCCACCGCGAAGGTCACATCCGACCCCGCGGCTGTACCTGTATCTACCACTGCGACCACCTCAGAAGGCACAACTCTACCTGCATCCACCGCGAAGGTCACACCCGACCCCGCGGCTGTACCTGTATCTACCACTGCAACCACCTCAGAAGGCACAGCTCTACCTGCATCCACCGCGAAGGTCACACCCGACCCCGCGGCTGTACCTGTATCTACCACTGCGACCACCTCAGAAGGCACAACTCTACCTGCATCCACCGCGAAGGTCACATCCGACCCCGCGGCTGTACCTGTATCTACCACTGCGACCACCTCAGAAGGCACAGCTCTACCTGCATCCACCGCGAAGGTCACATCCCACCCCGCGGCTGTACCTGTATCTACCACTGCGACCACCTCGGAAGGCACAGCTCTACCTGCATCCACCGCGAAGGTCACATCCGACCCCGCGGCTCTACCTGTATCTACCACTGTGGCAGCATCGGATGGAACAACTATTGGTGTATCTACCAGTTTGATAAGCTTGGAGAGTACAAGTTTACCTGCATCTGCAACAAACATTGTATCTACAAGTGACCCCACCTCAGACGCGACAACTGCATCCGCATCAACCACTGCTACCATTTCAGGAGTCGCTACTGTGAGCGTGTCGACCACTAGAGCTAGTTCAGAAGTAACAGCTGTATCACTCTCTACCGATATGGTAGCATCAAAAGAGACAGCGACGCCTGCGTCTACCACCGTGACCACGTCAGGAAGCGCAACGGTTCCCGCGTCTACCATGGTGGCAGACTCAGAAGGGACATCATCTGCGCCAACATCTACTGCTGGGGTCACGTCAGAAGGGACGTCCTTATCCGTAGCGATCACTAAAGTGACATCCGAGGGAACAACTACACCTGCATCTACAAATCAGACCATTTCAGAGGAGTCAACTGCCCATGCAACTAGCGCTGTAACCACCTCAGAGGGGCTGAGTGTACCTGAGTCCACCACTGCGGTGACCGTA